TCGTTGTTCTTTGTCCGTCCTTGTCCAGCAACGCCACTGGGATCGTTTGACGCAGCTGCACCTCTTACCATGCTTTTTTCAGGCTCGTTTTCTGCTCTACTGCATTTCTTAACTTGTTCTTACGGTATCGGCCGTAATCTTCCGTCATACGTCTTCTTATTACTTTGGACAGAAGTTTGTACTCCAGACCGACATCGCCTTTCGACGCCATTTCTCGTCGTTTTCCAATGAGATCTAGCGTTGCTTGACTTAGACGGTTTTTGGTGTGCTTGACGACATTTACCTCGGCAGCAGCTTTACACTCGTTGAGCTTGTCGAGAAAGAGGTCACAATCTGCATCAATGTTGTTATCTGTAATTTCCCAGTTTTTACATTCAACAACTTGTAGGAAGAGGTCCACTGAGAACTGCTTCGGCCTTCTACTGTAGATGTTTCTCTTCTGGATTCTTCGTTCCGTGCGGAAATCGATTCGGATGTCCGCTCTCACAAGACGGTGGTCAGAGTGGACCGAAACTGCTGATTTGGATATGATGGACACATCTGTAATCACTCGCCTTTTATCAGTGATGATGTAATCGATTTCATTTCGGTACGCGTCGTTCGGTGCACGCAAGTCCAGCGTCTACCCGAACGTTTCGGGAAGAAGGAATTCATTACGTAGAGCTTGGAACTTTCGGCAAAGTCAGCAAGTCTCTGGCCTCTGTCGTTCCTTGCTCCCAGATCGAAGCGTCCGATAAATTCTTCTGAATCATCTCCTTTTCCGAGTCTGGCATTGAAGTCTCCGAGGACCATTGTATATGTTGTCTCCTGTCGCAGTGCGACCTCGAGTCCTCCACAGAAACGTTCAATGTCTTCCTCATCTGCTGCTGAAGTGGGTGCATAAACGGCGATGAGCTTCATCGCAGTTTTTTCACCAAGGGACAACAAGCACTCCGATGCGCGAAGACTTGATTTCGCAAGAAATAATTCTACTTGTTGCCGTTGGTCGTACAATGAATCCAACACCGCCCACTCCTCCGTCTGCTGTTCCCAAGAAGACCTGTGAGCCGTCGTTGTACTTCCCGGCTGATGCAATTTTCCGTCTGGTCTCACT